TCTCTCTCACATACACACACACCTCAACGGAACGACAACCGTGCCAGAAGTGTCAAGCGGGAAAGGGGGGAGGGGAGTGAGGGAGGGTTGGTGGGGGCCCCGACACGCATTGACACCAGCCCCGGGGCTGCCAAGTTCGGACTGTTGGCAACCATGTAGGAATATGTTGTGATACCGAGGGAGGAACGAACCTGCTACTCGCTCCGCACTTAACCCTTACTATCCGTAATGACCAATCGGAATAATGTTATGATTCGACGAAACAATCGTCTAAAAATAATGAAATTAGGGGCAATATTTCGCTTGTCCATGGCGCATAGACTCTAGTGAAACCAAATATATTTGCGCGACTCTCGTGAAACCAAGTATCGTTGCACGACTCTGATAAAACCGCAGATCTCCATTTTTGCAGATGATTTTTGAAACCTGTATACCATTCGATAGATAAATTTTCACTTTATCGAAATAAATACTTCCTGGTTTTTGGCGTATTTTTTCATTGATCACTGAAGTCTGTTTCCGTTGTAAAAACGGGTGCAAAGCAAAATAATTAGCATATTTTGTAGGTTGGTCCGCTGCAATTGTATGGAATGCACAGTGCAAAGTGACGTGCACGGGCATGCTTCTTATCGTGGTATGGTGTAGAGTTGTAGAGTGGTGTGACGTCGAGTGGGATGGTAGGTAGTGTGAAGTTGCAGAGTGGGCTGGTGCGCAGTATTCCTTCAACCGCACGCGCCCAACTTTGCCATTTCACGTTCACGCCCCACCCGCGGTCCGCGGCCCGCGGTCCGCGGCCCGCGGCCCGCTTCCCAGCTCATGTCATAATAATCAGTCCGAATGAAAAATTCAGCGCAGCAGGTGGGAGCTGGGTGGACCCGAGCGCCAGAAAACAGCTGAGGAACTCTAACATGTCTAGTTGAGTTACGAGGTTTAAATTTAACGGGGTGCGCGAACCAAACGGCTGCTTGAGGGGCCGAGGGAGGGGGCAGGGGGCGCGGACTTACGCCATGGATCAAGCAAGAGATGTTACGCCGTGCGTGCTCGTCCCTGCAAGTAGTAAAAGATAGATGAAAAGCTTCAAGTCATTTTTCGGGTCCGGATGCATCTTGTCGGGGTGCCGCCGGTTTGTGGCTGAGGCGGAGCCAAGGCGAGTCACACTGTTTACGCGGAGGTGTTAGTTTCCCGCGCGCGGGCCTCTAGCGAGCCAAGTAGGCACAATCACTTCTCTTCTCTCATAAGAAAAAAGACTACAACCACACCGAAAAATCTTTTTATTTTGTAAAATAAAATTTACTTATTGACCTAGCAGCGCTAACGGGACGCTAAATAATAACATTCTACTCAGTCAATCAAAAAAATATAATTCAAGTGTCACAATAAGAAGCTTTTCCGGGTGCAACATTTTCAGCCCCGAGGACTAGCTTCCAATGCACCCGTCTCTCGGTAGAGATATACCACGACTCTTTTGGAGATGATCCGCAGCAGCATAGAGCAGCTAGAAGTTAATAGCTCACCAGTAAAAGCAAGTGTTATACAGTTCGTGAGTTTTTTTGTATTTTTTTTTTAAATAGCAGAAGAGATGATGCCTTTCAACACTCGGTTTTCATTTTGAACCTTTTTTCTAACCAACTGTAAGACTTTAAGTTTCTGTGTTGCTTCTTTTAAAAGGCACAACACGCTTTCACGATCATTGGGGTTAATAGGATCAAACAGAAGGTCGCGTAATCTCTGCTAAAGTTCCGCCTTTCTATCCGCCCGTCTTTGACACTCGATGGGGCTCAGCAGCTCAGGTCAGGCTGTCCGGGGCGAGGTGGAGGGGGGCGGAGCAGGCGTTGTGGGCTGGCTATACGCTAGCTACGCCACGCAAAGCTTAGCGCTTCAGGCATGGAGCTATTTCAGGGGCGGTGAGGGACCACCACGCCTCCACGCCCCACCGAACCTTCGCGCCCGGCCCGCCGCACCCCCGCCCTACATTAGGTAGGCGGCTCGCGGGGTCCAGTAAATGGGACGGACGCGGCATGATATGCCGACGTTCAAAGATTTAGAATCTTCCCGCAGTCGTGAGGAATCGTTCGACGCGCAACTAAAAGCTGTTGCTGTTTCGAGTCCTCTCGGTTCTGCCCTTCGGTGCGCCCGCGGCCCGCCTGCGGCGCCTGCTGCCTGTGGCTGACGGCTCAAGTTACCAGCCGGCCTTACCCTTGGGCCAAACTGACCGAGTCCCCGTCCAAATGCGTTTTCTCTCCTAAACACACGAAGGGGGAAAAATAGCTCCTCTCTCTCGGCTACGCACGCGCGCGGGAGGGGCCGCCGCAACCCCGCTGCAAAGGCTTCCGAGCACTGAGCGAGCGCCGGCCAGTTCGCTAATACCCCTTCCACTCTCTTTCTTGTGTTTTCAGCTTTCAACAATTATACTGTTTTTTGAAATGAGAAATACTCTTGTGTTGTCACCTGTGACCAGTTTTCTCCTGTCTCTTCAGTAGCTGAAGTGAGTGTCCGTTTTTGTTTGCAGTCCTCCGCAAGGCCTTCGATGCCTTCGACCGCGAACACACCGGTTCCATCCCCTGCGACATGGTGGCCGACATCCTCAGGCTCATGGGGCAGCCCTTCAACAAGAAGATCCTGGAGGAGCTCATCGAGGAGGTGGACGCCGACAGTAAGTTGTTCTGAAACTACACCCTCACAATGATCGTCCGTCAAGGGATCATCTCGAAAGTACCTCCGTCATTCACCCACCGGTACGAACCTAGTCCAGCCAATGCAAGCTCTCATGGCGCCTGGTAGGTAGGCAAAATCTTGCCTGCAGTGCAAGCGTGTACTGCGGGCTGGCCTACCCCGAGTCTCGCAGGCGCCGAGCTCCTGTAATTTGTCGAATGAATCGAAGCAAAACGGATGTACTTTCTGGGCGATCCCGAAGGTGAAGCGTGGGACCGTTGAATGTCAAACTTAACTTGTGCCCTCGGCGGGATGCCGTCACCAAACAGTTGCTTAGCGGGTTGGCCTTCCCAGCAGGGTGTAGCGTCGCCTCCTGAAACGTTTATTGTGGAGACACTTTTAGAGGTATGAGTGTCACCCCCAGGCATTTCTGATACCTGTTTTCTGTCGCACGCAGAGTCTGGCCGCCTGGAGTTCGAGGAGTTCATCACCTTAGCAGCCAAGTTCATCGTAGAGGAGGACGCCGAGGCCATGCAGAAGGAGCTCCGGGAAGCCTTCAGGCTGTACGACAAGGAGGGTGAGTCTCGTCTCGGTGCACCGTCCCTCCTCGGTCAAGGTCCCTGAGCCCCTAAGACTGACAAGAGTAACATGACGCTCTGGTTGAAAACAGGCAACGGCTACATCCCCACATCCTGCCTCAAAGAGATCCTGCGAGAGCTGGACGACCAGCTGACAGAGCAGGAGCTCAACATGATGATCGACGAGATCGACTCTGATGGCTCCGGCACCGTCGACTTCGATGGTAAGTTTCGGACCCCATTCCGGACGCACTCCGGTTCCTGCTCTGGGCTCCTGCCCAGGCTGCGCTGCGCGTGTTGCCTGCCCACAGGGCGCCCGCGGGGCGCGGCCGGCCGGGCTGAATCCGGAAAGGGCTCCCGATTGAAGGAAGACTCACCCCCTTTGTCTCTGCACTCTTCGTGAGGCGAGTGACAAGCCAAGGGGAGGAGGTTCAGGTTCCGGACGCAGCCCCGGCTCGCTCCCACTCGTGGGCAGGACATGAGGCCTTCAGGCAAGCCGCGGTACTAACCCACTTCTGCAGGAGCTCCATGGCTACACAGTCACACCCCAAGACCGGGAGGGGGAGGGGCGGCTGGGGACTGGAGAGTGAATCACACGAGCAATGTTCGGAAGCTGTTGAGATGATGACAATGTCATACCGCGGACCGCGGACCGCGGGCGATCAAGGCAGAGAATAGAGGGGGGGGGGGGAATTCATTTGATTGTACCCGAATTAAGTAATTGGCAATCAACCTAAGCTTGTCCAGTCCCCAGCCCCGCTGGGTAGCTCGCTTTCGTATCTCTTTCCTATAGTGTGGACGCAATTGTGTGATATGATGACACGGCTGCCCTGGTGTAGTAATACGAGATTGCGATGCTTCATATCGCCACACATTTTCATTTTTCCAGCGAATTATTATCGTAGCTGATATTTTTCATATTTCTTGTAGTTATTTAGATTCTGCTCTTTAACTTTGCTTCATATCATTACCAGCCGGTTTTTTTTATTTGAATATACCCAGTGCAGCTGCCATATCACCAATGTATTTGTTTTTCCAACTAAGGTATTATATAATTGGCGCTCTTTATCTTAACCCTTTGGTATAAAAATAACTGATCAAAAAATACAGAACAAAGCATACAGGAAAGTTGCATTCTAAGAGAACTACCTAACATGATCCTCCTGAAATACTCGAGTCCATCAATTTTTTGTTCAATTCTTTTGTGTTATTTTTCTTACAAAGGGTTTGTGTGTTTCTGTAATATTTTGTGTTTAAAACAAATGTGTCAAGGTATTTGTTCTTACATCAAACAGCCACAGTAAGCAGATCTGACTTCTATTAATTAAATATTGCAAATGCACTTCAGGGACAAATAACAAAGCGCTTATTAAAGTAGTTAGTTCGCTCTGCTTCGACTTGCTAAACCTCAGTAGAATATCTTTCGACATTACTGCAAGCTTAGGTGCCAGTAAGAAATTTGGTAGATGAAGCTGACTCATTTTGCACTATATTCATACCAAAGCATTGAATTAGAATCTGTCCATAGTCTCCATATGGAGCTAAACCACTCAGTTATTCTACCTGGGGTTATACAAGCGTAAGTAGTCTGTGAACTAACTGGAGTGAGGCGCGCTTCAAGCTCCCTGTCATTAACACAATATGCTTGCTTTGTGTGCTTGTTACAGAATTTATGGAGATGATGACCGGAGAAGTCTAGTTTGGTGATCGTGTCGTGTGCAATATGACAAAATGGTAAGACGTAAGCACTAACTGTAGGCTCGCCAGTTTGCATCTCACTGTAGTATGTGTTGAGTGTTGTTTTTTTCTATTCTAATTGACTCACACTAACAATCATGTTATTTCTTTCCAATGCACGGTTATTCTCAATTCTCAATACATCTGAGTTCAAAATCAAGAATGGAATTATGCTTAGAAGCTTGAAGCCATAGGGAAACAGAAACCTCATGCCCATCCTCATATGGCAATAGAAGAAAAAGACACCTTCTATGACCTCCTTTGCATGGTTCATGTTATGATACCCTCTTTCAGTTATCTATTCAAAATTATGGTGATGCAACAATAATATATATTGTGCATGATACCCAAATTGTAGATTTAGCAATCTAACAAGTATTATTTCAAGCTAGACTTTCCATTTCTATCTTTTAATGCTGATGTTTGAATAGAACGTAGTCAAGAGACTACCATAAAATAGCTCTGTTAGTTCTGAATTATATTCCTCTTTACCTTGCCTGGAACAGCTTCCCCTTAAATGTCATATCATTAATGCACGTGCTGTAGCAGCCCTTAAGTAGCTATAATACATGCTATTAGGGCACAAAACACTTTAAAACAGTGAGGCTGGTTTTTAAAAATGGTTTTAAAAACTGGTTTGGTCTTGTTACATAATCTCTTCCTTATATCTATAAATGATGAAGGCAAGAAACATTTGAAGCAGGACCACAATTATTAATGCATCAAAAATCAATCCAGTGGTGAATGTTTGAGTGGTTTTATGATCCTTTAGCTCTCTTAAAATTATTGCGCTGTACAAAAAGCCTCTGAACAGCATCTCTTGATCAATGACAAAGCATTTTCCATACCTTCCAAGCCAGAAATAATTTGAAGAAACGAAGTTGATTTAACATATTTTACATTTTCAATGAAATGCATTGCTTTGATATCAAATTGAATTCGTTTCTAGCACCAGTTCTTGCTTAACTCTCCCTTTAGGTCTTACTTCGTTTTTTAATAAGACATTAATCCTGTTCCAGAATTCATGGAGATGATGGTGGGGGAGGAGTAATTTGTCCGAGCTCTCATACACTCATATACAAACGGTGACCACACACTCCATCAATCCGACAGCAGTTCAAGAAGATCCATAGTAAATGCCCTCATCAACTCTCCTGAATCATCATTTTTGTCAAAACCTACCATTATCATTCTTGACTGTTATTAATGTATGTATTATGCCTTATTCCGTGACATTTTTCTTATTGGGCCTAATTATAATTGTGGTGAATGTTTAGTATTGAAATGGAGAGAATGTTCCATTTCTGTAAGTTAAATGTAAGTGTACTTCTGAGAAACAAGATTACCTCAGGGGTATGCACACTTCATACATGCTTATGAAAGCAATAAGAAATTTGAAATTTGATTGAGGAGCTAGATTTGTTCAAGATTTGTTTGCATATCTGTTTATACAAATGTTGTTTACCTTGTTTTTATGATGTAGCCAGTTATTTTTACACTGCGTGTATCCTTCTCATATTTTGACTACAGTATTCCAAGAAAAAATATACTGAAAACCCAAAACTGTGCAATAATTTTACTACCTGATATCCAAGATTATAACCGCAGTAATTACCAGATGGGAGAAAGAAAATTACAAAGGACCATTTTCTCTTAGTTTTCTTCACCTTTACTGTTCTCATAAAATGGCATTGCTAAAGAAGACACTGGAAAGACATAGGTTACATAATATGAACGCTAGGAGTACCAAGGAAGCACTGAATATTGGATAGAATGAATGACAGAAAGTGGTGTTGGATGGATGTGTTCCGTAAGTACACTGACGGCTCTCAATATATCTATTAAAAAAATGTTGTAAATAACATTTATCCAAAGTGCATATAACTTTAATAAGCACAAATGAGAAAAGATTTTTAAAATGACTAGCATTTCTCATAGTTCAATATCCCTCTGGGGAAAATTTAAATGTAATACTAAGGGCACAAAAATACAACAATGACACAGACAGAAACTTTAAAATAAACACAAGTGAAACAAACTAGAAACAATGAGAATTATTGTGTGTGGATTGTATCCGACTCTTGAGCTTTAGTATTACCCAGTACATGACAATGAGTGACAACAAGGGAGTCACACCATAGTCAAAATTGTGTAATAATTCAGCCAGGCAAAGTTTAAAGTATGTTGAAGCAAAAGAAAAATTATTTTTAACTTTAAAATTGTAATGGAAGAGAAGAGCAAACTGACAAACATAGCTACACAATCCATGAGGGAAGTATTTGAAAAGCTAATTATAAAATGAGGAACCACATAAACCGAATGTATAGCTTGACTGCCAGCAGTCAAAATGTCATGGATTAGTAACAAATTGGCAACAATGTCCCTCATATAACACAGTAATTCAAGTTTTGTGCAAACAACATCAGTCTACAACAAACACAAAGGATTTTATAAAATACATCACCCTTTTAACGGCAAAAATACATGCTAAAATGACATTCTGCGATTGACTTTAACACAATTTGGGAACCAATAAAATTGATGGCATGAGAACTTTAAAATGAAATAGTAAAAACTAG